CTGTAGCGCCATAGGAGAGAGATTATATTATATGGAGAGTTATAGTATAACAAAGTAAACTGAATGATTTCTATATTAAAAATGTCATTAATAAAATAAATTTTATTGTGTGTAATAAATTATACATAAATATTATATTCATTTCATTTGCTTTTAACGGAACAAATCAAATTTTCTTACGGAACATAAAATATACGTAATTACTATTTAAATGGGAATAAGCCACAATTAAAGGTTAAAGTACGTTTATTAACGTTTTAATATCCACTTCGGAAATCCTTCTCAAAATACAAACAGTAGTAAATTAAACAAATTTTGTTTCTTTATTAAGAAAGAAATAAAATTTGTTTAATTTACTACTGTTTGTATTTTGAGAATGATTCCTGAAGTGGAAATTGAGACGTCAATAAACTTACTTTAACCTTAAATTGTGGCTTATTCTCATTTAAATAGTAATTACTTAAAAATGCCACAAGAAAATAGCTTCAGAACAATAATAAAACATATGAAATTATATAATTTACTTTTTAAATGATTGAAATTAAATATTAAAAATTGTTTGATGCCCATTGATCATTGCTTAATTACTAACCTTTCTTCTTATATGGCTTTTACTTTATCCGTCAAGACACATATAATAATTTAATAATTATATCGGTCTTAGATTTAATTTTTAGGTAATTACGTATGTATTTAAATAAATAATTAAAATTTTATTTTGGTACGCCACTGCAAAGTTGATAAGGGAAATATCCTTTCGTAGCTTTAAATGCGATGTTGCTAAAAAATCGTCTTTAAGTAAAAACTGCTTTAGTATAACTCATCCATTCTACAGGCCCCAGAAATACCAAATATTACAGCCACCTAAAAAATAAATAAAGCTATAATCTAAATAGAAATTAAAACCTTGTAAATTACCTTAATCATTAAATTTTCTTTATCTGGAGCTTCCTGGATAAATTTTTCAATTTCTTCCTTCGTTAAAATCTTAGATTTCTTTGCCCTATAACCTTGAGCTTACCGTTTCAATAAAGAACGAAGTTTTGAGTATGTAGATATATCTACATTGTGTTTAAGTGCAAGGGTTGACTTCAGCATTGAATAATTGGCCCATAATGTTGAAGATTTCATCTTTAAACAAAGGTCTAGGAAGTATGCCATTACAACATTTTCTGAGAAATAACTCGTATTTTTACTCATGCGATAATCCATAAAACGTCTGTATGCATTTTCGTACTTTTCTCTTGATTTCTTTGGCAATAATTCTAATGAAGCAGTATTCACTGCCTCAAACAGCTCTGGAGGAGTCCCAGGGATGGAAATTTCATCATCACTTATAATTTTACTTTCGAGAACACCAGCAATTAAATTTATAAGCGTCAAGTTTGACAATTCAACCTCAATACGTTTCCATAGTAACCCAAGTAATTTTATTAGGAATTTCAAAGCACCATTTATTTGGGAATAAAATTATCGCGTTTTTTTTTAAACAATCAATATCTGTCGAATTTTAAACGATTTGCGGAAAAATAGTATGTTTACCTCGTAGGAAAAGCCACATTCCTGGACTCTGTGTTGCTAAGTCTCGGCTTGCGCCTCGACTTAGCAATCTTCACAGTCGTCCAGGAATGTTAAGCTTTTCCTACCCGGTAAACAATGTACTATTCTTGGTTTTATTGTAATACGGTTTATTGTAATACCGGCTATTAAAAAAGTTCTAGAATATGAAATGTCAATAAATGATGCTATAAGATCAGTATTTGAGATTCCTGCAAAGAAAAATTTTGAATTACATTAGGATTCGGTTCATATTGATCACTAATAGAGAGCAGAATAGTGTAGGAAAAAGTTTATGGTCGGTATGGACCTTACGTGAGATGGAGTGAGAAATCGCTGTTTAAAAAGAGAGAGGTATATTAGGTCCGCCCTTTATATCGCCGAACATGCATGCGTGGATATAATAAAAAAGGGGAAGTTCAACGTTGCCAAACTTATTGGTTTTATTTGACCTGTTGCCTTTTTAGCATTTGAACAATGTTCTGACATAATCAAATTTAGGCGAAATGGATTTAAATGATAGCTTACTGTTTTTTATTGGGAATATGCCATAAGTTTACTTTACAATAAGTGTAATATAACATTTTGATTTCCACTTTGGAAATCGTTTTATATAAAAAAAAAGTTATTAATGTTTCGTATTTTAAGTACTATTTCCGAATTAAAAATCTAAACATCAAAATAAGCTTATTTTAAAGTCACATTGTGCCTTATTCCCAATATAAAATAATTATTTTTATCGTTAAGAGAGTAGGCGCAAAATTTCGGGCCAATGCTTTTTAAACGCATTCATTTTTTTTTTTTGAATCCTGAGAAAACTAATAAATATTTTTGAAAAATTTAAACGCAGAATGAAACAATACATTATTACTGAGGACCAAAAGTCCCTGAAATCTTCTAAAATGTTTATTTTAATAAGTTACAGGGGTGAAAAAAAAAGAGAAAATTTATTGTGATTTTTAATTTCAAATATCTCATTTAAAAAACGTTTTGTTTATTCTAAGGGACTTTCAGCCCTCGGTAATAATGTAATCTTTCATTCTGCATTTAAATTATTTTAAAATATTTGTTAGTTTTCTCAGAATTCGAAAATAATGAATGCATTTAAAAAGCATTAGCCCGAAATTTTGCGCCTACGCTCTTAACGATAAAAACGAGTTACAACCACCCACCTCTACTACTCGTTACTCTATTTTGATTCGGTGCTTTGACCAGACAGACGTTGCCAAATAATTATTGTGTATGAAGATTTTTTAATGTGGCGTTATTGTATGCAGTTTATTATTTCATATTGGGAATAAAGCACAATGTGACTTTAAAATAAGCTTATTTTGATGTTTAGATTTTTTCTAAAGGTGATTCTTCAGTTTTCAACTGAGATTTAAGTTGTAGCATGTAAAGTAAATAATAATGTAAGTGCGTTACTTGCATTAAATTTTTATGCTATTTTAAACATTTTTTAGTGTAGTACTAGTTTATTATTAAAATTATTGGAAAAATAATTAGTTTTATGGTTATCTGTTGATACAGGGTGTTCTTTTTTGACTCATAGCTTAGTGAGTTTTAAAATTTAAGTTGTCAGAACTTTGTTATTAATAAATATATTTTAATGAAATTTTTGTCATAGCTATTTGAAGCCACTCCAAATCCAGTGGCGTAGAATTTTTTTTAATAAAAAATCGTCAATACAAATTTTTCATTTTCGACGAAGAAAAAGTATCGTAGAATGCCCTTAACTAAATATTTAATATTTTGTCCCGCAATAGACCTTTCATTACATGAAATAAAAAAAAATTGGTTAAAATCGGTTAACAACTTCAATTTTTATAGAGGTGTTTCCAATCTAAATGGGACACATTGTATATAATATCAATTTTTGTGTGTCATTTCATTTGTTTTTATGTGAAAAATGATTATATAGTAAACCTAAATATTTTTTTGCATAAAACCTAAACCTAAACCTTTTGCATAAAAAAGGAGATAGAACGGACCTAGAAAATTATAGACCTATTAGCCTGTTGAACCACATATACAAGCTCTTCACAAGGGTAGTGACATCAAGATTGGAGAAAAAATTAGATTTCTACCAACCGAGAGAGCAGGCAGAAAATCTATAGAATATAACAAACCTCTTGTTCTCACTTTCATAGATTTTCATAAAGCGTTCGACACGATCGAATTAGACAGCCTTATAGAAGCCATAAATGACAGCAGGATTGACCATAGGTATAGTGAGCTTATTTATAATATTTACAAAAATGCCACTGTGACTGTTAAAATAGACAATAAAACCCAACCAATACAAATAAATCGTGGAATAAGGCAAGGAGATACATTGTCGCCGAAATTATTCATAACGGCATTAGAATATGCCTGTAAGATGATCAATTGGGACCACAGAGGAGTAACGATAGACGGCGAAAAGCTTAACCATCTCCGTTTCGCAGATGACATTGTCCTTATCACAGATAATTTAGGAGAAGCTACAGATATGATAAACGAATTGGATTTTGCATGTTCGAAGGTGGGCCTGAGAATGAACTTGACCAAAACTAAGTTTATGACGAATTTGGTCCACAATAACCATTTGACTATTCAAGACAAAGTGGTAGAACTGGTGGAGAAATATACGTATTTGGGTCATGAAATAAGAATCAGCAGGGATAACCAAATATGTGAGATCCAAAGACGAATTACTTTAACATGGGCAGCCTTTGGAAAACTGCGAGACACACTTAGGGCCAACATACCAATCAGCCTCAAAAGAAAAGTGTTTGACCAATGCGTATTACCGGTCACGACCTATGGGGCGGAAACTATGGCTTTAACCAAGACCACGGCTTCGAAACTGAGAGTGGCACAGAGACGAATGGAACGGTCTATGCTGGGAGTGACGTTGAGGGACCAAATAAGAAACGAAGATCTGCGAAGAAGGACGAGTATTACTGATGTTGTGGAACGCATAGCGGAACTAAAATGGAACTGGGCAGGCAATGTAGCGAGAATGTACGATTCACGATGGACGAGCAAAATTATAAATTGGAGGCCAAGAGCAGACAAACGCAGTAGAGGAAGACCACCTACACGTTGGGCCGACGACATCAGGCGTATCACTAAAAATTGGCAACAAAGAGCACAAAATCGTGAGGAATGGAGGAGTTTAAGGGAGGCCTATGTCCAGCAGTGGACGTGATAAATAGAGGCTGGATGATGATGATGATGATGAAACTTAAATATTTATATTTATTTTTGACTATTTTTAATATGCATTTGCATCTTTAGGCAAATTTAGAAAAAAAAAATAGCTGCATATTAAACATGTGCACACGACTCCTCGTCGTTTTGCAAGACACGAACGTGCAGGAGACTGTTATTGTTAAAATAATATGTCAATTAATCAAAACAAAATTAATGATAAATTTACTATACTAGTTTCTTTTCAGTAATGGTAGGCCAGGCAGCAAATCAGTGACGGAGGAGTTCCAAGTGGATTGGGGAACTTATATGTCTAGTCACTGTGATGTAGTTTACATTAAACTAGATGTCAGAGGTGCCAGAGGTCAAACGGACCGCTCGATATACCATCAACTTGGTGGTGTGGAAGTCCAGGATCAGGTAAGGACTACAATAAATGATTTAATTGGGTTTAGGATAAAAATATTAAAGTTTCTAGTGGATATTAGGGTTTTTAAGCAAAAAAAAATAATTAAACTAAAACAAAGCTTAAAAGTAAAATCTAGTAGATGCCCACTGTAAGGGTATTCTAATACATACGTCATAGGTCAATGAGCCAAACGTGGTGTCAATTATAAAATTGTAAAAATTCTAAGTTCTAAGTCCTAATTGTAAAAATCCCAAGTCCATGGACGTTAAAGGCCAGTTCCATTAACAAACTTGAAGTGTTTGAAATGTGGTGCCTGCGTCGAATGCTCAGAATATCATGGACGGACAGGATCAGAAATGAGGAAGTACTCAGAAGAGCGGGCTTACAGGATAGGGAACTTTTTAATTATTTAAAAAGTAAGAAGACGGCATACTTGGGGCACATAATACGAGGAGAACGATACACTTTTCAGCAACTGATACTCGAAGGGAAGATAGAGGGTAGGAGAGGTCTCGGACGTAAAAAAATGTCATGGCTGCGCAATATTCGACAATGGACAGGAATCCACAGCTATTAAATGCTTTGCAATGCTGCTAAAAACAGAATTATTTAATCCAGAATATTTAACATCTCACTTGACAAGACGATGTACGGTGGACGCCTACGCAGAAATGCACGGCACCTTAAGAAGAAGAAAAATCCTAAGAAAATTCCTAGCAACATACATATCACACTCTATAATGGAAAACATGCTGCAAAGTAAGGATAGATGGTATATATAATGATCTAATTAGCAGCAGAAACAGGGCACGAGGAGTAGCACAATGTGGTGTTGGGCTTTCACCGTGTTGACCCAACCCAGGTTCAGATTAAAAACTTCACCAAAAAAGACAGATATTTCATTTTACTTTTAATACAAACTTCTAACGTGTTTACAATTGGGATAGGTCGCGGCTTGAGACATCACATATCGTCGATCAGCAATTTGTCGGTCTGAATTATTCATGGAATAAAAAGAGAACGCTTTTAAATATACTTCTCCAAGGTCGGTTTACACTAACAATAGTATGAAAAACTTGTTGCATTTAAATTTTTGTATAATTCTTGGTAATAGACATATCGAGATCAATTTTTGACAAAAATATTTAAAAAAGGTGAAGATATTTCGCAATATTAACAAAATGTATTACATAGCTATAAGTTAACATAGCAATGCTGTATGCACCTACAACAAAAAGAACAGAAGAAGAGGTAGAAGATCTATACCATAGCATTAATCAAGTCGTGAAAGGATTTAAAAAGCAAGACGTAACAATTGTCATTCAACGCGAAAGTTGGGGCCAGCAAAATATCACATGCAGTTGGACCATTTGGACTAGGAAACCGGAACGATCGGGCAGATACATTGGAGAGTTTTTGCGGAAGCAAATCAATTAGTAATAATAAATACCTTGTTTAAGCTACACCTAAGGAAATTGTACACCTGGAAATTTCCGCAGGATCCTGTGGAAAGGATTCTAAAAAACCAGATTGATTATATGCTAGTAAATAACAGGTACAGTAACAGCTGTACATTTGTCAAAACATACCAGGGGACAGATATAAATTCTAAAAAAGAGTCCCACGACGAAGAAAAATATCCTGGTTTCCCAACTGAGAACATGATATAGAAATAAATCAATACAGCTGTTCCGTATACCAAGCAAAAAAATCATCATAGCCAGAATTATTGCCAAGGTTGTTGGCAATAAGATGAAAAAACACAAATTTAATTTTATACCCCGTATATAGGTAAAACGTTGACATTTCTCATATAATGTGTTCTTGACAGTAATTTCTTAGAAATAGACCTTAAATATGATTTAAATCGTCAAAATTTATTTAACACTTTAATAGAAAATAGTCTCAAACTTGTTGTACATTTAAAATGGTGCAGTAATTTTGTAGAGTTTACGTTTTTCTGTGGATTTAGGGATTAAGTGAAGTAAACTTCGTGTAACTACCTTTATTTTAACTTACTTAATCATAAATACTAACTAAATATCATAAATTCCTATTACAATAATAATTATTATCGATTATAATTCTCACGAATATCGCTTTAAAAATAAACACTTTGCCAATCTCATAAAAACTTATTGTAATCATATGCCGCCTTAGTGACTTATACATAAAAACATGTGTTCTAGAAATAGCTAGCAGGTGATGGTAGATTCAAACGCAAAAAATCCGACATTCTCAAACGTTGCTGACAAAAAGTTGAATTAGCCTTCTCAAATTACCTTAACGCCAGGGTGCAATTAGGGCGTTGTGACTCATAACAATATTTTTAATATATATCTTGTCTAACTTTTTAGGTAACGGTGTTAGAACATCTGTTTGAAAAGCATAAATACCTGGACAAAACTCGAATAGGCATTTGGGGATGGGGTTATGGTGGCTACGTTACAGCAATGGTTCTTGGCTTGGGCAATCAACAAAAAGTGTACAAATGTGGTATATCAGTCAGTCCCATTTCTGACTGGCTGTTCTACAGTAAGTAAAAAATTCATTCATTTATTATTAAAAAGTGTGCAAATATTTTCTGAATATTCTAGGACCGTCTTAACATATTCTTCTTCTTGTTTAAAGTTTATTCATACTAATTCGTCTTACACATAATTTATTTATATGACCGTTACATTTAAATACCCGTCGCGAATTTATCTTCTGACTGCCTGTTTTCTAAAAGGGTTTCGTTATATACCCATACAGCTGTTAGACTAGAATGTCTCGAAGGATGTCGAGCCTTGGCGAAAATACTGTAAGGTTACGACACAGTATAAAGAGGTTCCACAGTAGAACCACTCTCCGAAAAATTGGAAGTAAAATCTGTCAACGCGCAGAGCGACTGCGCTTATTTCTTTCGAGAACCATTCTTCCGTTGCTAGTCGCTTAGAAACGTACGGGTTAACAGTGCCGTATTTTGCTTAAACTGAGTAAGTTTTGCGAATAATTGTTAGTATTGTGAAGTTGATCATGAGTAAAATTCGAAGTGGTATTAATAATCTTAAACTTCCAAATTTGTTAAAAATATCTGCCGATAGACCATATTTTTATCATGAAAATAATAAAATTGTCTTTTCTTTTGATACACCTCATTTATTAAAAGCACTTCGTAATAACTTCATAAGAAACAAATTTGTTATTGATGATATTATCGTTTCTTGGAAATTTATTAAAAAATTTACGAATATGATAAACAATATCCTATACGTACAGCGCCAAAATTGACCGAATCACATATATCTCCTAACAATTTTGAAAATATGAAAGTGAAATATGCTTCTCAGATATTTAGTAACACTATTGCTGACGGTCTGCATCTGTATATTAGATTTAATGTATTCGTCGAGGAAGCAACAACAACCGAAAGATTTATTAGGAACATTAATAATTTATTTGATATGCTCAATTCTTCTTCATTGAGAGGAGCAACTGAGTACCAAAGTCCGTATAAAGGAACCGATGCTTAGCAAGAATTTCTTAATACGTGTTTCCGATTGTTTAATAATTTACAGGTAATTAATTTTAAAGCTAAAAATGTAACACCAAGAATAAAATATGTTAATGGTTGGAAAATAACCATTAATGGAGTGATTCATTTGTGGAATCTACTACAGTCACATGGAATGGATTATTTTTTAACAAGGCGGATGAATCAAGATTGGCTAGAAACCTTTTTTGGTTCAATCAGGCAGCAAGGTGGCAATTGTGTTAACCCTACTTCGGTACAATTTACCGCAGCATTCAAAAGATATTTTTGTTTAGACATGATGCATTCCGGTACAGAAAATTGCGAAAGAGATGCAGGCCATATTTTGTTAAAATTAACCGATATATGTACCGACGATTATCTGCCTGAAACCACTGCTTTGGTTCCTGAAAACACTTTGGATGACCAAAATTATCAAACTTCAAATAAATTACAGAAAAACTTCACAAGATATATATGCAGTTATTTAATAAAAAAAGTGTCTTAGGAAACATGTTGGACGTTGGACGAATTATAAACAAGCGTTATGACGCGGTAAACTTGAATTACTCCTCCTGGTTTAAAAACAGAGTATAGTAATGCCGTGAGAGCTTCGAAATTAAACTCCTTTTTATTTAACGTTTATATGACATGTACAATATATTAAAAACCATTGACATTTTAAAACTTGCGCAATACCGTTGATATTTAAAATACCGTTGACAAATATAAACAATGAATTATAATATTGTTTTTAATTTATTAAACCCTTTGTTTTTGTAATATTAACATTTAGTGAGAACATCTGGACAGTTAAATATGGGAAGCCGCATTTTTTATTTAAATGAATTAATAGTAGTAGGCTTAGAAAATTTTAATACGGCTCTGTAAGGTTAACGGTGGTGGATTACCAATTTCGTAATTTGCCGGTATTACTTCCTGAGATCAAAGCGCCGACAGGCGAGTGGTTTTACTGTGGAACCTCTTTATACTGTGGTTACGGGCTGGTTTTTCATTCAACCTATTTCCGGAACGTTCGAATGGACCGGTTTTTATTACTTGGAATTTCTGCTAACTAGTCGAAAGGTCGTAAAATCTATAACATATTAGTGAATAAACAACATGTTTACAGGTTGTTAATATGACTCATATTTTTACGTAACAATATACTCTTACTTTATATTCTATATATCCAAAAATATTTTAAAAGTTCTCTGTCAGCTTTCTCTAATTTTATTGATAATTCTGTAATTCTATTATAGCTCGTTATGAGCCAAAGCCTTCTTCAGAACGATCTTCCATTCGCCCCTGTCTCTAGCAACTCTTCTCCATGCTATAACTCAGATGGATTTTAGATCATCATCTATGTTATCTTGATACCTAAGTTTTGGTGTTCCTCTGGCTCGTCTTCCCACTAGTCCTCTTCGGTTAAAGTTTTTCTGATCATTTTATCTTCATCTCGCCTAAATACATGTCCTATCGATCGAAGGCGTGCTA